GTAGTACTATTATTGTGTGTTTTTTTTTTTTTTTTTTTTTTGTATTTACTCCTATTCAAACCAAGATACATGTATTTGAAATTGTTGCTGTCTTTGCATATGAAGGTTGCAGCTGATCAAAGCAATAAAGCTGTTCAAATATAATCTTTGTTTCATGAATTGCAAAATCGAGTGTGAGTCTAAACATAGTGCTGCTACCAAGTGGAATTTTATATTACTACTACTACTACTACTACTACTACTAATAGGATTGACTTTGTAACATCTGTATGTATATTCAATATTTTACCATATTTAAAAGGACCGAATTTTCTTACCCAGAAATACTGCTAATGTTTTTATTTCCCTGTATCTCCGCAGTGTTGTTTCTTATATACTTTAAACTTTACAGAGGACTGGCAGATCTGGGCAAAAAGTATTGCACCTACTGGTAAATCTTTTGCAAATGTTTAATTATTGCAAAAATAAACTATTTTGCATTTTCATTTTCAGTTTTCTGTTGTGGCAGAAAATATACTAGTGTGTCTTGATTTGGAAAAACTGCTTTTGTCTAACCAGAAAACTGAGGGCCAGGCCTAAGCCCAGACCCAAAGCAAATTCTGAACAGCGAGCCTTTTGCTACGCCTTTCCCTCAACCCTTGGTAGTACCTTGTTTAGATACCCCTGAACATCTGTTGGGTTAGTGGGATGTCTTCTGGTGTTTATGTGGCTACTGGTGTGTTGTCAAAATGATAGAGGCCTTATTTTAATATTTGATCCCTCTCTCCTCCATTGTGTTTATTCCCTCCATCATGCAGAGTCCATTCAACAGGCTTCTACAAATAGTCTTGTTCTTCCATCACCTTGTTAGAATCTCATTGGCTTCCTGCCTCTTATCACAAGAAGTTCAAACTCTTTTCCCCACCTTCATATTCACCCCCTAGTCACTCTTCTGTTTTTTTCTGAACACTTAATTTCAATTTCCCACTTTTGGCTTCATGCCTTCTATCATGCTACTCCCAACTTGTGGAACAATCTTCCTTTCCCTATCTATCTAGTGCTTTCTCTTTCCTCCTTCAAAAAATCGCCTTAAAGCAGATTTCTTTAAGCAGTCCATTCTTCTCTCACTGCTAAACTTTTTTGTGTGTGTCTTTAGAGTCTAAATAAAGCAAGATAAACTTTTTGGGGGCAGAGATTGTCTTTGTGAAGTTCTATGTAAATATATAGTACTGTGTTAATGTTTTGTAAAAAGTTTGGATTGCATTGTGTGAACAGTTGATCTTGGTGTGAAGGTCCCCACTTCTTACCCAAGAATATAATTGTTTACCATTTTATTACTTTAAAACCTTTTCTTGTATCATTTGCCATTATAAAACCATTAATCTGGTGCAAAAACAGACAAATATGAGAGGGAGGAAAAGGAAATAAAGATAACATGCAAAGCAGGAAACAATTAGATAAATTCCCTCCGTAGTTGGTTCTAGATTTTTGACCTCATCTTCTATCTAGATGGACCAGCAAAGTCCTCAGTTTTTCAGGTCGATGTCTATTCTCTGTCATTAATGCTATGCAATTATAAACAGTTGTAAAGTTCTGCAGCTCATAAAGTTCCAGGAGTACAAACCTAAATTATACAGATGGCTAGATTTTTCAAATCCACAGGTACAGGAGAATGTCATATAGTCTCTACGCCAGAAACACGGTACTTTGTCTGCAGGAAAATGGTAAATGCCATCCCAGAGAATAGGAAAAGAATTTAGAAGAAAAAGAGGCTACTGACTTGGAGCTTTGGGATTGACTATATGCTTAAAAATTACTTACAAAGTGAAAGATACATCACAAACTTCAGGGTCACATTAAAATAGTTTTAACAGTTATTTGATTTTTTTTGCCTTGTATATTAATAAATTGAGAAATAGGTTCCTTATCCATAGTCTGCACTTGATAATATACCTTAATCATTGCTGACATACATCCTTTAATTACAGCATGTGTCTGGGGTAGAATTGGCTAAAACTTTTATATTTGTTGAGCGTGGATGCAGCTACAATGGCTGCTGCAAATGATGGGTAATGCCATCCCAAGCACCCTAATGGCAAAACAGATCACGCAGAACCACTCCACTAAGCCATTAGGAACTTGGGGTAGTTAGAACAGGAAAGGCTGAGAGGAGGAAATGATACCGCCACTGATTTCCTTTTGGGTTCTCTGATATGGTGGTTGAGCTTGATCATGGTGGGTTTGACTTGGTGTGAATCACTTGTCCAAGGCAACTTTTTAGGAGGAGTGGAGTATACTGCATCGTTGGGCCTCATTATCCATCTTAGTGAGCAATGAAGGTAATTCCTTTGGGTTGGGATTGACTCAAGCTGGCTTGTCAATTTGTGATTTCCTGTTGAACAAATTGTCACCCTGATACAAACGCCTTAAAAAGGCATATGAGAAAGTACTAATGCATGTTGATCTTGCAGATAAAGATTGGGAGGACATAAAAAAGATGCCTGAACATTCAACATTAATGAAAGATTTCAGAAGAAACACGTAAGTTAAAGTTTTGCTGAGCTTTTTTGAGAGATTAGTTGTCTATTTTATCTTAATTATAATTTACCTTATTAAAAATACCATCTTATAGTCATATGGTAAAGGATTAATATGGAATTATTATGGCTTAGATGATGGAGGAAATAAGGATACCAGGATGCTTAAAACTCAGTGTACTGTGGCTGTTCAAGTTAGAAAATGTTAGAAGCCAGATACTGGTTATCCAGAAAGTACTGTATAGTGAAATGAGAAGTAAAGTGGCGTTTAGTCACCTTGACAGAGTAGTTTGGCTTTGTCTGCAGTAGAGAACTGAACTGTTCCTACTTGAACCTGTTGGATAGAAACAATTTAATACAAATGGCTTAATATGTCCACACTCACCGGGCAGATTCGTGTTCTGACCTGTTGCAGTTTAGCCTTGCGACTAAACTACTGTGTTTTAAACAATAGTAGTTGCATTGCCTCTGGGCGCCTATCCCAAAAGCAGTGAATTTTGGGAGATTCTGAAAGGCAACCAGTGTATTGTTAGGACAGTGTTGAAAGGGCTGACTAAATATTTAAGTTCCATGCACGCTGGCACTAAAACAGTACAGACTGATAAAATGATATTTAAACTTGCTGAAAAGGAAGTCTAATCCAAATGGTACTTGAGACACATGTAAATCATTCAGAGAACTTTTGTTTGTGGTCGTTTTGTATGTTTTACAAGCATGCTAGGAGGACAAAAGTGTTATTTCTCTAATGTCAATAAGGAAGCATCTGGTGCTGGTGCCTGTGCCTTAGCTATTCAATGGACAAAAATGGAGCTTTAGTCTTAGAGCTGTCAGTCAGTATCTTTCATAAGCACTAGGTTAACTTTCTCTAAAAATGCCCAGTACTGATATTGATGTATATAATACTTTTTTTTTCAGGTATACCAACTGCAGCCTTATCAAATATATGGAAAAACATAAAGTTAAACCAGATAGTAAGGCATTCCACTTGGTAAGCTTCTGGTAGTTATATCAATTGAAAAAGCCACATATATGTTAGCAGTGGTCAAATTGGGGGCTGGGCTGGTGCCAAGTGCTCTTTCACTGAATTTATTTGCAGTGCTCCAAACTATTAACGTATAGTTTCCGAACTGGAAACACTGCAGAGTACTTCTCATTTATTGCTCCTGACTAATAGAATGATTAATTGAAGAATTTAACTGGATTGGCGTTTGAATACAGTACATCACAGGTTTTCTACTTTTAATAATCATGGTAAATTTGTGGTTTTATTTTTGATACTGCAGCTCTGTTTTTAATGCACTTTACTGCTTTTACATTTGTGTGTATTTTAAAAAATCAAATTAAAATCTATTTTTGATAAATACAAAAATCATTAATTCTAGAGGATGCATATTTGATTTGAACATTTTCCTTATTTAATGTGTCAAATATGTACTCTGGGAAATATTGTATTGAACTTTGAAAGTTTAGTTTATAAAATTTAAAGAGCCTGCTTCCTAGATGCACAACTCTTTTTTTAATGGCTTATTTATAGATGCTTCCTAGTAAAAGGTTCTTCTCATAAGTTCTGATAGCTGCATACCAAAATGTTTCCTTGCTAAAACTCTGATTCAGCAACGTACTTACATTTTTGTATAACTATAAGGACATAAGTAGTCATATTGCTTAAATAACTTGCTGAATTAGGAACTGATTTTTGTTGTGTTATGTTAGCAAACTGATATATTGTAGAATTGTTGATACATTGCTTATTTTTAAAGAGCATTTAGGCAAATTTAAAAACCTAGATATAAAGTACTGCTGACCTCTGTCAGCAGGTTTAAAGAGAAACAAGTCTATCAATTTAACTTGGAGAATTCCAGCATCTTCTTTCCAATGTAAAGATATATAGGAACAAGAGGTTTCATGACCTTGGAAGGAAGAGGAGAACTTGAGATGGATGAGAGAGGAAGGAAATGAGTCAAGGGGGCCTGATTGTCTCATAGGTTGCTTGAAACTCCCATTGAAGTGGCGCTTACAACTGATGGGATAATCAAGCCCAAGCATTTTTACTCTTTTTGTTTTTAAACCAACACACTTTTGGCAATTTCAGAGCCCCGCTTTCCTTGCTCTTTGGTTTTTTTGTTTGTTTGTTTACTTTCATGATAACTGTGGAATTTATTTGCTTCAGCCAAAGGTTGAGTGAATCCAGGCAGCATTTTAGTTGATGATAAACAGCATAAAATTGTGAGAACAGGAGTTAATTGCAGCAGATGGATTACAGTAGCCAATCTGAGTAGAGATGTTCATAAGCACAGTACAGTTAGTTGTTGTTTTTTAAATACAGTGACTATGCAAATCAAACATCTAATTAAAGTGCAAAGAACTACATAATTGAGACCTCTGTCATTATGCATTATTAACTGTGAAGTATTCCTACATTCTGCCATTTGATATAATACCTTATAACTGTTCACTGTCAGGTTTCTTATCCTCTTTGAATTGGAAATCCACTTTTGAAGAAATGAGTCAAACACACCTCTAGGTGGCTTGTGTAGTGCAGACATTTGTACCCAATACATACAAAGTCTGTAGTGTTATGCAAAACACTAGGGAATCTTTGTACATAAGCAAAGCAGCCAGTGCCTTTTCCCACTTTGCTCATAATAAAATTAACCCAACTTTTATCATATCAGGAATGAGAACAGAGCATCATAAAATGTGGTTCTTGTATTAATTAGACAGTTTACATAGTGTTTTATTGCAAAAGTATACATTATTTAAATTAAATACATATTTGGCATTGCATGTAAATAAAATATTGTATATTTTTTGATACAAAATATCTGTAATTTTTGTGAGGATGATACCAGTAAGTGATTCTATAAGTAAGGCTACGTTTTAGTCACAGAAATTTTTAGTAAAAGTCACGGACAGTAAACAAAAATTCACAGCCCGTGACCTGTCGATTACTTTTACTAAAAATAGCAGTGAATAAAATTTAGGGGAGGGCAGCCTGAGGCAGGGGGAGGGGGCAGTGGCGCATGGCATGGTACCCCTGCTGGTGCTGGGAAGGGAGGTGGGGGGATTGGCCGGTCCAGCAGGCTCCATACCTGGCTCCTCCCCCCCCCCCCAAGCAGCAGCAGAGTTTGGGTGCGGGAGGGGGCAGGGGGTTGGAGCACGCATCGGGGTGAGGCGGGCTCTGGGCGGCGCTTACCTGCGGGACTCGCCGGAAGCGGCAACATCCCCCTCGCTCAGCTGGTAGGCGGTGGCGTGGCCAGGCAGCTCTGCGTGCTGCCTCTGCCTGCAGGCACCACCCCTGCAACTCCCATTGGCCGTGGTTCCGGGGAGCCCTCCAGGTGAGTGCCACCCAGAGCCTGCCACACCCCGTCATGTGCCCTAACCCCCTGCCTGCTCCCACACCCGAACTCTGCTGCTGCTGGTGGGGGGCAGGCATGGAGCCAGGTAGGGAGCCTCCCGACCCCACCAATCTCCCTCCACCCCACCCCCAGCGCCAGCTGCCTGACCACACCTCTGCCTAGGAGTTGAGGGAGGGGGATGTTGCCATTTCGGTGGAGTCCCTTAGGTAAGCGCTGCCCAGAACCTGTCTCACCCCATCTGGTGCGCCTGCCACCTCCCACACCCAAACTCTGCTGCGGGGGGGCGGCCACAGGAGCCCAAGACTATCCCAGCAGCGGCCAGTGCGCCTGGCTGCTACGGAGGTCATGGAAAGTCATGGAATCTGTGACTAACTTGCAGCCTTATCTATAAGTGAATAATACACCTTTGACAAGTGCTGTTGGACATGAAGTTTTAAATGGTGATACAGACAATACAACATCACTTTTGTACTTGTCTCTCATTATTGTGATTTGAAATGGGTAAATTGTAGTTTATAGAATTTGGAGGCCTAAGATGCTTCCAATAATTCTAACTGCCTTTTTCTTCCTTTAAATCAGTGGTTCTCAAACTTTTGTGCTGGTGACCCCTTTCACATAGCAAGCCTCTGAGTGCAACCCCCCCACCCCCAATAAAGTAAAACACTTTTTATATATTTAACACCATTATAAATGCTGGAGGCAAAGCAGGGCTTGGGGTGGAGGCTGACAGCTCATGACCCCCCAGGTATAACCTCGCGACCCCCTGAGGGGTCCCGACCCTCAGTTTGAGAACCCCTGCTTTAGTACAGATGTGCTGCCTTTTGCCTGCAAGTTTGACTACATTTGACACTATTGTAGGCCAAAGATTTCACTGCTAGCTCCGCATGATAATACAAAATCTTAGAGTAGCACACAATTGCTAGTTAAGAGTTACTGAAAAATTTCTCCTCCCCTCCCGCCCCATACACCATTTTATCCTAATTCTACAGTACGTAAAAGAGGTCACTTTATCATGTTTTCAAATCTCAATTAGGCAATCTAATAGCAAATCCGATTATGCAAATTTTAGTGTCAATCCTGGTAACTGATTCATTACTGATCACTTCAGCATTAGGTAATGCGCTTATCATATAAACCCAAACTGCTTTTCATTCCTTGCCAGGAGCCAAAAATCCCTACTTTTCCCTACCTAACTGCCAAAATCTCTAGTTTCCTCCTGATAGCTTCTATAGTACAGTTAGGCATTTCCAATACAAAATTCTGGAACACTTTGAAAATTAAGATTAAAAATGTATGGGCAGCATAACATAAATTTAATATCAAATTAAATATCACTGGGAATACTGTAGTGATTCTATTATTCATTTTCATATTTAATTCAATAACCTCAATTTTTTAATTTATCTGAAGCTGCTGCATTTCCAGTCTGCTGCAGGGGTCTTGCTACAAAATGTAGGTCAAGCTTGCCATGTAGTATAGGTCTTGATAATAAGCACTTTTAGTATCCCACACAATAAGACAATGGATCACTTTGGTTCAGAGCAAATTAGCTTCATTGAAGATGGGTGAATGGTCTGGCCAATTTGGTCTGAAAACTTCTCCTTTGTTTTCCAAATCTTGAAGGCCTGGAGATTCATTTTTCTGTTCAGTGGAGACAGCCAGTCACAAAGTAATCATGGATAGGATGTGCTAACAAAATGTTTTATATTTGTCCTCCCTCTCCTCCCCCCCATGGTATCACTACAGGGCAGCAGTTGTTTGGATACCTTAACTGTGTATTTCTTACCTCTAATGTTTTTGGATTTCCACCCCAAAAGAAGGGGTTAAATCAGGGTACAAGATCAGGGATATCCATATTAATTCCACCAGAGCTTTTGGGACAAGCCCCAGGGGGAAGATTGAGTCTGAAAATGTTCATGAAATTGCACATTGATTTTTCCCTCTTGAAGTTGGCAGAACCCAGATTCTTCTTCGAGTAGTGTCCCTATGGGTGCTTGCGTTCCTGCACTGCTGATCGGGGAACTTTGGTAGCAGTGTCCGCTAGGACCCGCACATGCGCTGTCTCTCCTCATGCCTCGCCACAAGGCTAGTCAGCATGCGTGGGCTAACCCCACTCAGCAGTCCATTAACGACTATTATCTCAGCCTTACTTTTGTAGCTTAGAGCTTAGTTTTTAGTAGGAGTTATTGCAGTGTGTCTTCTTTTCTCAAAAATAAATAAATAAATCTATACATATAAAGAGATTTTATTTGTTTTTCTTCCTGCCCTTTCTTGTTGGGGGCCCTTCCCCCCAACAGGGTATGCCCAGGTCTCTTGGCTTCAAGAAGTGCCTCTCATGCAACAAGGCTATCCCTGTCGCAGACACGTATTCATGGTGCTTTCATTGCCTCGGGAAGGACATGTCCCTCAAAAGTGTGCTCTTTATCAGTAGCTTAGACCTCGGTCTTGCAAGGACAGAGCTCAGGCAGAAGATTATATTCATGGAGGCAGCCCTCACACCCTTTCTGGACCCGCAACAAGAGTCACCAAGCAGGTGTGAGTCTTCCCCACACCCCTCAACATCCAAGGGCTATGGGGTGATGACATCAGCTGCTGCTGTCTCTCATAAATCAAAAAAGAGATCTGGAGG